CTGTTTTGCCGGTTCATCTGCCGACAAACGCAGTGTGACACATCGTTTCAGCGGCTCATTGATTTTCAAACCCACCCTGATACGTAGAAAGCTCCCCAAGCAGTCTCCATTTAAGCCACGATCCACCATGTAGAACGTACCCAAAAAATTACCTAGTTTTTCTCCCATGGCCGGGGTCAGAAAAATCGGCGGAATACGGCGCACACGCACCCAAAAACTTTGCGAATCCACCGAAACGGACATAGGATCCACTTCACCATCAGTGCTCGCCAGTAGCAACAGCGCCCTATCAAAAGTCCAAGGGGAGCCCCTCATCACCTTCTTCCTATCGAAATCTGTTTTGAAAGAGAACAAGAACCTCTTGGGGTCGTCCAGAGACACCGCAGTGAACTCCTCCCTGGTATGCCAAATCCTCTTCAACGTGCCAAATAAAGCCTCCTTATGAAACGCCTTTGAAGTGAGCAATTTCCCAACAAGCAAGAACCGTTCAGCCTTCAAGTTTCCCAGATCCTCTAACCCGACAACCTCCACTGATTCAGATTCTGAAATTGCCAAGGAAGAGGTGAGACCTGATACCAGTTCATCAACAGCCGCCATCATCCACTCAATGCTTCCCTGTGTAAGCCGAAGGCAACACCCAAACCCCGCTTGAACAAAAGTGTTAACTATTCAATTATTCAAGTAAAAGACAATTTTACCAAGGGAATATTTTAATGGGTTTAAAGTTGACTTTTTGTTCGGGAAAGGATTTGGGGATTTGAGTGGTACCGTTGCGTAGATTGCGTTGAGGTGAGTCCATAGACACGTAGTGGGCTCACATCAGAGTTGTAACGAAAAAGTTACGAGCTAAGGAAGCCTAATGACATAATCATAAATATTTCAAAGTTCAGTTTTTAAAAACCCAGATTTTTCTTCTCTCTCTCTCTCTCTCTCTCTCTCTCTCTCTCTCTCTCACTTATCTGTCTCTCTCTCCTCCTTCCCAAGCAGCCCACTCATAAATATTTCAAAGTTCAGTTTTTAAAAACCCAGATTTTTCTTCTCTCTCTCTCTCTCTCTCTCTCTCTCTCTCTCTCTCTCACGAATCTGCCTCTCTCTCCTCCTTCCCAAGCAGCCAACTTCATACGGAGATATCTCCGCCGTCCGGCCACCAAAACTGGTGCCACAATTTGCAAACTCTTCATCTCTCTCTCCTCTTTCCATACATACCCATATCTAGCCTTGATTCCAAGCGATTAAACCAGAAATTCGAGCCAAAGTGAAGCCCAAAACAGGCTATTCGAAACCTGAACTTTCGTGGGTTTTTCCGGCCAACTCCGACCACCATCGACCGTGCTATCACACCCAAACCACTCACCTACCTCCCCTCTGTAATTTCCCTCGAAGACTCGACGTGATTCCATCCCGAAATCATTGAATCAAAACTTAGAAATTTCTAGGTTTTTCGAAGAGAAAACCCTTCGTTCGAGGGCTTTAACGGCCAAATTAGTCTTCGACTCAGGTACGAAACATACTCCTATTGATGTGCTTGATCTTTTGGCAAAGGTCTTGACTAGAGGTGTCAAACGGGTCATGTCGAGCCTGCCCGTCCCATTTAAACTTGTGCTTTTAACGTTTTTGTGCCGGGCCGGGCCGGTCCATTTAATTTATCGGGTCGTGCCGTGCTGGCCCATTTATTAAAATCATTGATCCCAGCCAGGCCCAAAGCCCATGTCCAGGCCTCGTTTTCGTGCCATGCTCGGGCCCAAGAACCAACCCATTTAATTTGAATTGTTTTCACTTGATTTTTTTTTTTCCACTAGATAATTCAAATTATAAACATTAAAAATATAATTAGAGGCCAGAAATGATGAACTATTTGAAAACATTAATCAATCAAACATCAAACAATATGAAAGGGAGGAGGGCAAAAAGAGTCCAACTCCACAAAATCGACTTCAACTTTTCATCTTTAAACAACTTATTATTTTATATGTGAAGAAATGTCTGTCTTTGATTATAAGAGAAGCGTATATGTCATATGTAATGATCAGATATCAAGTCCAATGTTGTTTAATTAATTTGTAGTTTATATGTTTAATTAACTAAGGACCCAAGTAATTTCCCTGAAATGAAAGACATCAAATATATGTTTATGATTATAAAAAAAAACATAAAAACAATGACATTAGATGTCAAATTATTACATTTTGACTTTTGAGAAAACAAAAAATGTTAAGTGGCCCGGGCTTGGGCCGTGCTTGAAACGGGCTTGGGCTTGGGCCTTGCTTGAAGAGGGCTCGGGCCAAGCCCGGCCCATGTCGGGCTATGGGCCGGCCTGGTCCATTGGACCTCATTTTTTAATCCCAGCCTGGCCCAAGTTTTCATGTCGTGCCGAGCACGGCCCATTAATATTCATGTTCGTGCTTGTGTCGTGCCTCATTTAAACGGGCTAGATTTGTGCTGTGCTGGGCCGGCCCATCCCGTTTGACACCTCTAGTCTTGATCGGCGGTTTGGAGATTTTTCGATTGCTGGAATTTACTCTGTGCACCCACGCGCTGCTGGCGCATGTGGCGGCTCGTGGGCCACTTTGTGGCAGGCCATTGGGTTCTAAAATGATCCCCATGTCGTCCCGAGCACGATGGTATGCTCATATTTGAATTTGGTTATCGTTTGACTGTCGATCGGATATCGCATATTAGGCATTATTCAGGTTTGATATGTTCGGACCATTGGATCGACTCCATTTTCATATATGTTGATCTAGGCATCTCTAGGATCATGTAGGAATTCGCGGATTGTGAATCGGAGTCCCGGATGCTCCGATTCAATGACTTAACGTTTGCGTTAAACGATAACTGTCCAATCGTACGATAGCGAGCGATCCGACAGTTCGTTCCGGACCAAACTTGAAGGACATGTATAGTAAACCTTGTTGAACCCGTAGGAACTCTCGAATCAGAAATCGGAGGTCGTGGGCCCCGCGGGCCCCGTTGACCAAGTTTGGGCAGTTTCCCCCCTGCCGTCTAAATCCACAACATTTCATCCAATCTGCCGTTAAATATGAGGGCAAAGTGGTCATTTCGTACTTTAAAAATGAATAAAAAATAAAATAAAATAAGTAAAACCCAAGAAAATGATTAACCTCATATTATCCAAGATTAATAAAAAGCTTGAGCAGGACCCCTTTGCAGCTTCCAGTTTAGGAAATTAAAATTTGAAGCCCATCTCTCTCTCTCTCTGTGTGAGAATCAAGGGCATTGATGGAAAAGGAGGTTTTCTTGCTGTAAGACTTTGAAACTTCAATTTCTGTTTAATGGGTTTGGGGTTTGGGGTTTGGAGGACTAGTTCATGTATTAGTGGAAATTTAGCTAGAAAGCTTTCACCTTGGGTTGGAAACGGAAGGGGCATGAGCCAAGTCCGTTGGATGCGAATGCAAGGATTATGCATCAAGTTGTGGGGCACAAAGGTGGGCTTTTCAGGATACTGTGTATGGTGTGAGTGAGGAATTGGACAATGATGGGTTTGAGCTATTGGGGAAGGATGAAGGGGACATGCAGTTTTTGGTTTTGCAGCAGGTGCAGGAATTGAGAGCTGAAGTTGGGTAGTTGGAAGAGAAAATTGTGAAATTGCCGCAAGAGCTTTTGGGTTTAGTGTCTTGAGATTTGTTTGATATTGTGAATAAAGTTAGACAAATAGGAAAGGAGAGTTTGAAGCCAATGGATTTGCTACCGGACAAGACGCTTGCAGATGATATTTTGGTCGGGGATAATGATTTGGCACATTGGAATGATCACCATCACGAACGTTTATATGGCAAAAAAAAGAGGAGGAAGGGGAGGGGAGGGAGGAGACGGAAGGGGAAGGATGAGATAGATCAGAGAGGGAGGGTGAGGGAGATGGAAGGGGAAGGAGGGGAAGGGGAAGAGGAGGAGGAAGAGGAAGGAGGACTGGGTTCTTCATGTTGGGGGAGGGGGGTTTGGCTCTAGATTTACTCTTTTTCTTCAATTTTTTCCAATAAAATAATTTAACCGAAAATTGGATGAAATGTTGAGAATTTAGACAGTATGGGGGAAATTGGCGAAAAAAGAGAGTTCATATCCTTAATTTTCTATAAAAAAAAAGGATAGGGGGCAAATCAAAAGTTAGGTACAAGTTCAGGGGGTAAATCACCAGTATACCCTTTTGATTATGTTGGAATTATGAGATTGCACTACTACAAAAATTGCAATAGACGATGGTAATCCACCGTCATGTATTCGGTTTTTCAACCGTCGTGAAATCCACCGACATCTTTTGATGCATAAAACCACGACGGTAAATTCTCATCGTCTATTATTTGTAAAGACGACGGTTTTTCAAAAAAAATGTCGTCTATTACATATAATAGATGACGGTTCTTTAAAAAAACCGTCGTCTATTATATGTAGACGACGGTTTTGAGAAAAACCATCGTCTATTAGGTGTAAAGACGACGGTTTTTTTAAAAGAATTGTGTTTTATTATATCCAAAGACATCGGTTTTGTTAAAAAGCATCGTTGATTGTATATAAAGAAGACAGTATGATGTTAAAAGAGGTCATTGATAATGTGTACAGACGACGGTTTTTCCAATAAAACCATCGTTTTATTATCTTTAAATATGTCGTCTAATAAGTTCCCAAGCTGTTACATTTTTAGTTTTTTGTTTCCTATGATTCTATACAACAATTTTAACTAGAAAACCAATTATAATGCTGTATTAATGAATACATACACTCAAAAATTATTTCTTTCATAAAACTTGATGATTCAATAGTTATTACATAGTCAACCAATTTTTGTTCTATTACATACATACTTCCTACCTATAATTAGAAATAATGGAGCTCACAAATTCTGCTAATTTGATTTTAACTTCAATAATTTGTTATGAGTTGGCTTTGCCTTCTTGCACATTTTCCAAGCTGCTTTATTCCCCTCCCAGCAATATCAGCAACAGGTTATGTGCAGATATGAAATCATAGTTGCGGATGATTCTCAATTAACAAAGAGGAAAACCATTTTCTTTTATAACTTTTGTTTTGAAATATATAACAAAATGCAAACCATTGATGACACCAGTTACAAATTGGACTAACACTATTTCACAATGAAGCAACAGTAACCTGTTCAGATATTTCATCAATAACCTTCTTGTCACCAACACCATCAAGAATTACAGTGTCATCTTTTGAATTTGTGACCTGTAGTATTACCCCATTCGTTAGGAGAGTGGAAGAAAAACAAGATATGGAAAAATATCATTAAATCGAATGGGAAACTCCATTAAAAATTCTCCTCATCAAAGAACTACATGTCATGGTTAGACTGACAACAACGCAAACAAAACCTCAAGTATATCAAAGCTCACCTTTTTGCAAGTGCCGAGCATATTCAATTCCACTTTGTCAAGATTCAACCAAGCTCCTCTCCTCAGTAATAATCTAAAATACAAAAGAGATGTCATTTCCAGGTCAATAAAATTCAAAAGAGATGCATTTGATTAGGTCAGGTAATAATAATACAAAGCTAATAATAAGAAAAATAAACTTACAGAACCCCCAGTGAGAACGGCAAGATCCTGGAGACTGGATTTCCTATTTTCACCAAAACCAGGGGCTTTGATTGCACAGACCTGTAGCAAATCACATTAGATTAGCAAAAGCTGACTTCCCTACACAAAGAACCAAACGATTACATAGGAAAGAAAAAAAAAACCTCAAACAAGAGCATAAAAACAACTGAAAGCAAACCTTGATTCTAGCACGAAGCTTATTTAGAATAAGGTCACTCTCCACATATGCGGCGACAATCAGCAAAGGCCTTTGCTTCTGAAAAGGAGGAGCAAAAGTTTGTCAACCAATTGAAAAAAGAAAAAAAAAAAACTAGTGAACCTAACCAGAGAAATGCTAACCTGCAAAGCCAACTCCAATACTTTAACCACAACATTAATACTTGAGATTTTCTTTTCATGGATTATGATTAGAGGATTTTCCAATACCTATCAGCACATACAGTTGTTTGAAGATAATGAGCATCAAGCAAAAAGGGACTTGAGGTGCTGCTAACTTTAACAAGCAGCCCTCTAACAGTTTCAAGATATAGTTATCGCTG